GGTACCTTCATAGCCTTAAGACTGCTCCTAGTCATCTCCATTAGGGTTCGGTTTCTCCTCTCTACAACACTGTTTTGCTGTGGTGTGTAGGGAGCTGTAAGATGCCTCTTGATCCCCTTTGATTCGCAGAACTCATAGTACTCCTTTGAAGTAAACTCTCCACCTCTGTCTGTTCTAAGAGTCAATACTGCTTTTCCAAACTCCTTTTCAACTAGCTCCTTGAACACCTTGAACCTCCCAAACGCCTCACTCTTCTCCTTTAACAATCGACCACATGTATCTTGTAAAGTCATCTATGATAACAAATATGTATTTGTTACCTGCGATGGTTGATGGTGTGATCGGCCCACACAAGTCTGCGTGAAGAAGTTCCAATGGTCTTGAAGCTTGAACATTGTTGCCTTAGGGAAACCTTGTCGAGTCTGTTTTCCGACTAAACATGACTCACACAATCCCTTTTCATCTCGAATCTCTGGTAGATCATAGACCATCTCCTGTTGTGACACAGCTTTCATGGTCTTAAATCTTATATGTCCCAACCTTGCATGCCATCTCCAAGTCTCATCCTCTATACTCGTGTTTAGACATATCGGTTTTCCAATCTTCAGGTTGACTTTGTAAAGTCTGTTGGGCGACCGTATGACCTTCACCAAGAGTCTTCCACTTGGATCATGGAGAGTCAAGTAATCCTGCCTCATTCTGACATCACATCCGGCTTCAGTGGCTTGCTCTAGACTCAGAATGTTGCTCTTCAGTTCGGGTATATAGTAGATATCTGATACGAGTTTATGCTCATCCGTTTTGCTTTGAAACAGAATCGATCCTTTTCCAGCTATTCCCACGCACGAGCCATCTCCAAACTTCACTTTGCCACTTATGTTTTCGTTGAGCTCAGAAAAGAATGCCTTGTTGCCCGTCATGTGATTACTTGCTCCATTATCTAGATACCAAAGTCCTTCTTCACCTCCTTTGTTTTAATAATTCTTTGGTATTAGATTCTCCTCATTCAAGAACACCAGCTCATGCATATAAAGTGTTTCATCAGCTTCTTCTGTCTCCACTTTATTTGCCTCCTGTGTCTTTTGTGGTCGTTCAAGACAGGAAGATGCAAAGTGTCCAGCTTTATCACATCGATAACAAATCACCTTGGACCGATCCTTCTTGTCCTTTGATTGGTTCTGATTTGTTGATCGATCTTGTGAGCTAGATCCTCCTCTGCCTCGTCCTCCCTCTCCCTCTCGAACTGGAACTACTTTGCTCTGAGTTTGCGTATAGCAGCTTCCCTTGCGTATCTCCTTGATTCTCTTCATCGTGAATCCTTTCTTCATACGCCTTAAGCCTTCCTAGTATATCTTCGTAACTCGTCGTCTTTAGATCCAACACCTGCTCGAGAGAAACGATGATGTGAATGAACTTGCTCCTTGGCAAACTGTTGAGAAACTTCGTCACAAGCTTCGATTCATCGATGGTTTTCCCTTGAGAAGCCGATTTTGAGGCTAGCTCAGATACCTTCCCTGTGAAGTCATCTATCTTGTCCGACTCGTTCATCTTGATCCTCTCGAACTCGGACATTAGGGTTTGAAGCCTTGCTTCCTTGACACGATCAGCTCCTAGGTTGCGTGATTTGATCACATCTCATATCCCTTTAGGAGATCCTTGTTTGCCGATTTGCAGAATAAGAACTTCCGGGATTGATTGAAAGAGAAGCCCTGTTGCGATATCGTTCTTGTTGGAATCAGTCGAACCAGGTTCGATTGTATCCCACACCTTATGGATTCGCAATAGAACTCTCATCCTCATAGCCCACACCGTGTAATTCGTCGCGGTTAGCATATGGCACTGGATCGCAGAAGGAATGCTCTCCTTCGTGTTAGGGTTAGGGTTTGCAACGATATCTCCCATACTTGGATATATCTTGGATATATCGCAGGTCTCAAGCTTTTCCTTAAGCTCTGATACCAATTCAAATGTTTAAATCAAGAACAAACTCTTTTTATAAAGAATACTCTTTTTATTATGTTTAGAAAATCTCTCAAAACTAAACACCAAAGTATGTATCTCTCATTGATGCAACTTCATCAATGACTTACACACATATATATATATATATATATATATATATAGAGTGTTAGGACAACTTCCCTAAACACCTTTTCTTTTTTTCTATTAGAACTAGATAACTCCTAATCTAATAAGAAAATATTCCCTTCTTATCTTTAACCGACTTGTTAAAGACTTCTTGGGCTTCAAGTAAGCTTATTTAACAAAGCAAAGACATCTAACTAGTGCCACCAAATAAGCAAATTTCAATGTCAAGACTTAACAAACACATATATATATATATATATATATATATAGTGTTAGGACAACTTCCCTAAACACATTTTCTTTTTTTCTATTAAAACTAGATAACTCCTAATCTAGTAAGAAAATATTCCCTTCTTATCTTTAACCGACTTGTTAAAGATTTCTTGGGCTTCAAGTAAGCTTATTTAACAAAGCAAAGACATCTAACTAGTGCCACCAAATAAGCAAATTTCAATGTCAAGACTTAACAAACACATTCTTAGATACTATAAGTTTTTCACAAAGCACTAATTTGCATTACAATTCTTGTGGTTTTAGATACACAATTACGATTAGCTACAATTGTAAACCCAATCAAGTTTTAACAGAGCACGGAACAGAGTAATCAAAGGCGTAGAGGAAACAATGTGACGAAACGTTGTGTTCTAGATTCAGTGTCGAATCAATCTGACGAAACATCGACAAATGGGAGGAGGAAAAGCTAACCTGGATTAAACCCTAAACTTGTGAAGACGATTGGGAGATAGGTTTGAAGCAGCTCTTGCTCTCAATCTCGATCCGCTTAAACTTAGCTGCAGCACATACACAGTTCGATTTGAGGAAGAAGATGGAGATCAATGAGTAAGAGAGAGTTTTTTTGTTTTTAGGCGCACAGAAAAAAAAAAGATCCAGACTCAGAAATTTTTTTTTTTAAGTTAAATGGTTTTCTGTAATTCTCAAATAAATATAAAGACTTTTTTATTGTTTATCTTTTTAGCCACGACATTTTAACCACGACGCCAGATTTCGTCAGCCAAAAACTTCAAGAAACTGATCGCCGCGTCTGCGTCTAGCGTCAAGCAACCGAACATCGATTGGACGCTGAAAATCCAAACCCCGCCTTTATTTTATTAATGTCATAGAATCCAAACCCCGCCTTTATTTTTTTGACAATCCCAATCTTTTCTAGGCTTAGTGCTCGATCTTCTCTCTCAATCCTTTACGATACAAATACTCAATCAAAATTGCATTGATCTCTTTGCATATTCCAGTTGGTAGTTTGAAACAATTCATAGAATAAAAACTTGTGTGACCAATTTTGAGTCATTTTCTTCACCTTTTCAACTCTATAGTGGAATATCTCTTTTTTACTTCCTCCTTATTTGTTCCGAAAGTCCCAAGTTATCATAACCACTGTCATTATGAATCTTAAGGATCCTCTCACAAAACGTGTTTTTATATCGTCCTTAGGAAGTCTAGGCCGTTTCTTTTACTATTGGAGTAGATATTAGGTTATATTGGGCCTTACATTTTGTATACTCTAAATTGGGCAGCAAGTATTTTTTGGCGATTAGGGTTCTTATCTTTGTTATATAGTTCATTAGTTTGTATCGCCCTTTGAGATCAACACCACAGAAACATTTAATCTAATTCTACATGGTATCACAGTTGTAATCGTGATCTTATCTCTTGAATCAGTGATCTCTCTGTTTTTTTTTTCCCTTTCAAGTTTCGTTTTGGCTCGATCTCTTTCTGAATCTGTGTAAATGGATGATGTTTGTTCATATGTTATGTCATTTCTTGTTTTTACGATTTGTCTTCTTACTTTAAAGTTATATGTTATGTTTGCTTTGTGGACGTAATCTGATTATTGAAAGAGATTGAAAAAGTAAACTTATAGCCTTTTAAAGGGAATAAATGAATATTTTTGACATCTTATATACTTGTGCTGTCTCATTCTAAGCATCATTAGATTGGAATGGTTTTGAAACGATTGATGGCTGTTTTAAGTTAGTAGTATACACTATACTGGAAAGTTGAAAGACACGGAAAAATTGTTTGAATCAAACTTGGGACAAGCGGAATCTTATTTGAGCTTCTACCTAGTTTGAATCAAATATTTCTCTGGTGTCTTTCACACTTAATTAGGTAAAGATTAATCATTGTTGTTTTTTCTCATTTTCAAACACAATCAGCTTCGATGCCAATGTTGAGACCTTCTATCAGCTTTTGCAGGTGGAGAAAAGCTCATAGAAGGTCTCAACATTGGTTAGGTATAGTGGCTTGATAGATGATTGATATCTTTGAAAAAAAATACTGTTGCATTTCATGAATGAGTTGGTAATAAGAGAAAACTCATAATTCCACCATCCCTCAGTATAGTAATATTATGCCAAGTGAAAAATCTAGACTTGCTCTGAAACCATTATACAGTATATGACATACCGGAGGGATGGTCGTAATTATGATTCTTCTTTTATCACCAATTGGTTTTATACAAATTGCTTTGTTTCTCTTTGTCTGGATGTGATGATAAGCACATGTACCCTCACTACAAAAAACGCGGTCTATAACGTCGGTTATTATTGAGCTTCACGTCACTAATTAACCGACTTAAAACCAAATACCGTCACTTTTAAAACCGTCGTAATAACGTGCGACGTTAAGTATTTTAGCTTCGCTTTTCAGAATGACGCATACTTTAGCGTCAGAATATTTGGGTCGGTTTAACAACGTAAACCAAAAGTGTTTTTAAGTGACGTGAAACAAACTACATATTTTTTTTAAGCCAGTCATACAACCGACGTAAGCTCCACTTATTAATTTTAACTATTTTGCTAATTAAATATATATATATATAATATACACTCTAATTAACAAAGATTTCAAATGATTACTCAAATAACAATTCAAATTATTCAAATAAATCTGTTTTTACATAGAAATGCAAATGTCATTGAAACTACAATTTTTTTCATATAGTATACCTATATGTACTGTCTTCATGGATTTTTCTTAATACACAGCTTTTCCAGATCCTCAAATTGATGCTTTTTCCTGAAATGATTACATAACAATGAAACAACAAATCTAACTAATGCAGAAAACATATTCAAATACTAGTTGAGGCATTTAGAGACAATCTCCTCACATCATCAATGAAACAAACGAACTTGCAAGAACGAACCAGAAACTATGGTGTAATATTAACATACCAGTTTTCAAGTGAAATCCAAGCTCATAGTCCAGTCTTGGAAATGCCACTTTCGTGGTCACTGTTGATACTAGATGTTTGATGAAGGTTTATGTTAAACTTTGTGTTGCCAACTACTGCATTCACCTGTAAAAAATTACACTTTATCATATCAACAATGAAGTCAGAGAAGGGATAACATCAAATAGGGAGATAGAGAAAAACCAAGTGCCCAAAAGCTTAAAAAGAGTTATTTTCAGAGGGTAAAAGAGATAAAAAAATTTCACTTTCTAAAGTAAGAGAATTGAAAAGTACAAACCTGCATTCTTTTTCCTGCTTAGCATTTTCCTCAGAACATCTTAGCCTATCAGCAAGTGTAACACCTTCAAGTCGGCAATATTCCAGCTCCCTCTTTGCCTAAAAGTTTAAAGGGATTGAGAACCTAAAAGAGCATGATAAAAGTTGAGAAAAGGGTTTTCCTCTGTTAGAGCAAATAGTAAAGGCTTCAACTTCAGTATCAACAACGTATAAATCAATCATCAATTGCATGAAAAGACATACAAGCTCGTTGACATATATTTGCAGATGTTCTAGTTGGGTATTTTGAGTGCTCCAAAAGGACTGCTATGGATAACCACTGAGAAAAGATACCAAAGATAGAAATAACAACTTTTATCAGACATGCTCACAGCAGTGTTTAAACAAAAGAAATCATGTGGCAAAAGAAATCTCTTGATAATACCTGCAACAACTGGTTTGCACTTCTTTCAACAAAAAAAGAGTCCCGTCTTTTGCCAGCAAAGGACTCCTGTTTGCTGATATCTCTCTCGAGGAGGGCCTTCTGTTTTTTTTGCCAGCAAAGGACTCAGACAAAACATATTTCTTCCTCCTACTTGGATCATGAAACCATAATTTTTTCTGTGTTTATTACAAAAGTGAACACAAAATATAGAAATAGTTAAGACCAAGAAGTTTGAAAAGACATCAGCATTGTCACTTTCAAGTATGACATTATTTTGATATACGTGAAACAAGGAAAAGTACCTGAATCATTTTCCAAGCCATCTCTTTCCTGTAGTTGGTAATTTTCCTACAATCAGTGTAATGTACATTACTCAGTGAGCCTAACCACGAGCCAAACAAACCTCCAGAATCCTTGATAGGACATTTTAGATGAAGCAAAGAGGTAAAGAAACAGAACATAAAGCATCATACGAGCTATTTTGCTTTGACTATATTGGACAGAAAACGTGATTAACATAAAATTTAACACACCCATCTACTTCCGCGTAAAAAGAGAGTTTATCCAAAGAATGGCATCAAACGACATTCAAATGAGTAGCCAATATAGACTAATCAAAATAGAAATGGACGAATACAGAAGATACTTAAAGGAAAACACAAAAACGCACAGAGAAGATATACCTGGTAGACGAAGCTCACAAAAGAACCAACGAACAGCGTATCCCTTCACACGAGCACAGATTTGTACGAAACTATCATGTCAACAAAATTAACTATTAGAATCAATCTGCATCATCAAAAAACGCAGCAAATTTCTACCGAGCGAACCTTTACTGTTGCTTCTGAAACTCGATGTTAGATCTGCGCATTTGAGATGAAATGGAAATTGATTTCAAACGATTCAAAAGACTAAATCGATGAGACGCTTAGGTCAGAAACTCTAGAACTTGAAAGAAATCGATTCCCAATTTCGGTAATCGATCATTGAAAACGGATTTGGAGCTCTAGGGATTGAGTTTCGTTTCGCAATCGTAAACTCAGAGAATTGGGAATATTTTTTTTTTTTAAATAATAATAAATTGATCATGGGCCTTTGTTTAGTGGATCATACATTAACAATTAACTTTGGATGTTAAAGTCGGTTAACAAACAGACGTTAAAATCCTTCCTTTGAAAAATGTTAAAGTCGAAGTTTGCAACATTCAAGTCATTTATATATACACACGTATACACACATGTTAGCAAAAAGACTTGACAGAGATGATGAGGCGACAATTGATCTTTGATCTAGCAGAAGTTACTGTACTCTCTCTGACAGAAGAAAGTTGCTTATGTTGGATTCCATCTTGTTGAATGTGAGGTTTGTGATGGCTCTATCGGTAGAGTTTGTTTCTGATTCGATCTCTTCCTCTCTACTCAACCTCCAATTAAACAACTGTCACTTTTATTTGTCTCTTCGAGATTTAGATACTAGGAACACCAAAATGATTTCATTTCAAATGTGGATTAGAAAAAAAAAAGACATGATCTATACCTGGTTTTATCACCATAATCATATCTGGAACCAAATGTAATAGCCCATTTTCGTAGATTCACAGCCTGTCCCAAAACCTTCTCATACTCTTGCAGGATCTTCATGACCGTGGGTGAGCATGGAAAAAGAATAAAGCATCATAAAAAACGAGCAGATGATTTATATTGGTCCCATACTCCCATACCGATCTTCATACCCTTTTTATTTCCTTGTTAATGTCACTTTTGTAAGTAACTGACTCAATACTTCCACACAAAATGCAACAAAGGATCACCTTGACGGATTCCTCGTTCTGGTTTGATTATGCCATGCGGTGTTCCATTGACCAAACCGGGAAACTTATTGATTCTACACATTTCATGCTTAATCCAGCCTATCCACCGTTCATCGAAGCTCATATTATTATTATTTTTTTTTTTATCGAAGCTCAAATTTTTTCGTTTTGATTTCTAGAAAATGCAATTTGTTTCATATTTGATGCAAATATGTCAAACTTACTATTTTTCAGATTAATTTATTAAACACGGTCGTATATAACGGAAAAGATGTTCATCATTACGTAACACAAGTAAAACTGGGGTTCATCGTGGAGTCGTTATAGAGCTATTCATCGTGAGCTCATGTATGTAGTACATAAAATTAGGTTTGTAAGTTCGAAACGGTAGATCATAACTTGTAAATTGTAATAGGATCATTTCAAGGAACTTCACTGATGATGTAACACAAGGCAAAGGTATTATATATATTAAAAAAAAAACAATTTATATGTCCGGCAAGTTTGAAGTAATTGTTCAAACACAATTGTATAGGAAAAAAAAGCAAAAACAAAATATGTTAAATGCAAAGATTGATTTACAACATGATTCACAATACCCAAATTACACAACATAACAAAACCATATCTTACATTTGACCCTTGTCAAATTCACATAAATGAATTTTCATAGCACACTAGAAATTTAATCGAGACAAATATAAAATGTCAAGTCGACCTCTTGAGTGCAAATGCAGAGAGGATGACAAGGAACATCAGAAGAGCTGCCGCAATAAAGGAAGCCACCACGGCGCCGCTAGTTCCTTGGCAAAAATCACCAAACTGCTGGCAAACTGGAAGCCAGTTCGAGCTCGAATTCCCATTGTGTGCCAAATAAACTATCGCTGCAGAAGCGGATGCCGCCATCATTGTGAGGCCCATCATCGCCTGAACCCCAACAAACCGTATACGGATTAATATATAGATGTGTCATATGTGTACTCAACATACATATTCATTGTTATTGATCTTAATACCATCGTATATACAACCATAGTCAATACATTAATAAATGTGTAATAGAAGCCTTTTTTTTCTTTGAACATCATGTAATATAAACCTTAAAATGTTAATTTTCGGGAGAACATATCACATGTCAACGTTCCAAACACTCAGCAATCTAACACATAAAAAATGTTACCGTGTCACATAAGATAAGGAAGAGCCTAGGTGGCACCGCGAGAGGCCGGAGGATACAGACAATGGAGAAAGGCAATGATAGGGTTAGGTATCCGCCCACGATGGAGTTTACTATAACAAAAGATCTGCAAAACAAAACAGATAATCTAGGTTTGAGAGAATCTATGTACCATAATCTCTAATAAGCACCAAACACAATGCTACAAACTCAGTTGATAGTTGGTTATCACATTTTTGGCAAATCTATAGTAAGAGTTAACATTTCGAGAGAAACTTACGAAAAAGTAGGTAAATCGGTGTACTCAGCCTGGAACTGCAAGAACTGAGTAAAGAAAGGAAGAGTCTCTTCCGTGGTCGCCATCTTTGCTGCAGCGGCCATTGCCGTGATGGCTGCAATGAGTCTAAGAACAAAATCGAAGATGGCAACACCTCTTTTCCAGCCGGCCTTGCTCATCTTTTCTTGCTTATGTTTGTCCATGATTCGGCTGTAGTTCATGGGAGGAGCAAACACGTGAGCTTTGCCTTTTCCTTTGTCTAGCTTTGGTTTTTGAACAATGGGTTCTTCTTCTTCTCTTCTGCTCCCTGCCTTTTCGATATCCATTGGTGATAATGGAGAATAAGGTTATCCCTACAATTCGAATGTGGAAAATATTCAAAGAAGGAGCTAGAGATGATGATGATGATGAATCCTAGGTCTTGCATGTAAGATATATATACATGCATGAATTGAGTTGTTGAAGTGGATGAAATGGGTTTGAGTGTGTATATTTTATCTTTGAGGGTTCATGAGAAATTTATTCTTAAATTCAAGATCGATTTTTAGTAAGATATAGTAGACAACTTGCTCCATTGCCAAATAAGTGTTTCTATGCCAACAACCATGTACCTTTAAGTTATAACCGAACTAGTACATTATTCAATACACAGGGATGGTGTTTTAACAAATTATACTTTTTGACCAGTGACTCTGAATGGAGCACATTATACGTTTTGTAGGATTAGGTTTGGTTGAATTATTTGCTGACTTGCTTTAGGGTGTAATATTATTAGGTGATGCAGGATATTAATTAATTCGCCTTCTATTTTTTTTTTAGTGTCAATAACATGCAATATATACAAACTGTAACACACCGACTATATATCTTATATATAAAACTTGGCCAACTCTCTCTAGTTGAGTGACACATCAGCGCTGGAAAGAGCGCCACCTGTCATCTTCAAACATTAATAAAATAAATAATTAATTATATTTAAAGCAAACAAATTAAAACATATTAAAAATATTAAAACATTTTAAATTACATTAAAACACATTAAAGCACATTAATAAATATTAATATATATTTATATTAGAATGAAATTTAAATTTAATTTAAACATATACAAACGTATAAATATTATATAATACAAGACTTTTTAAATGCACAACTCTATTTTTTTAAAATGTTTTAAAATTTATTTATAAACTAAAAAATTAATTAATTTTTAATGCAAGTGAAAACAAATTATGAAACTAAATAACTCAAATAATATTATATAAAAATTCAACTAATAAAATTATAAAACACAAATTATATTTAATAAATGATTAAAAAGATAAAAGTTATTAAAAAAGTAATAGTAAAAAGAAAGATATCTACATAAAAATGTCATCTATGATTTTTTTTTAAATAATAAAAAAGATGGAATCAATAAAATATATATAACCAAAAAAAATTCAAATGATAAATTAAGAAATTAACAAGTATTATATTAGTAATTTATAAGAATAAAAAGAATATAAAGATCGAAGAAAAAATGAGACTATTTAATACAACTGGTGTAAAAAAGATTACATATAATGTATCGTCAAGAAGAAATCAAAGAAAATATAAATATTTTAGAAAAAAATATATTAATAAGCAAACATAAAATTCAATAAAAAATATTTAAAATATATAAATTAAAATAAGATCTGCGCATACGCGCGGGTTCTCTCCTAGTAATAATACAAAACCACCAAAATAGTGTTCTTGTCCAGTTTTTTCCTTAGAATGAAAATATCAGATATTGGTACGTAGTTTTTTTTTTCTCGGTCAGATATTGGTAGTTTATTTGCAGAAGATGATAAATGAAAACTTTAAATGTTACAAAACTATATAATGTTAATATTTTTAAAATCAAGCTCTACTCTACATCATTCAAGAATTAGTGAGTTAGGCTTCGATTATAGTTAAGATGCAGAATTTTGGAATTATGTTTTTAATTATTTTGAAAAATATATATTTTCAGTTTGATGACTAAATTATCCTAATTTAAAATTTATTGTTATATCTATTATATTAAAACAGAAGCACTTTTAGTATTTGCTTCCAAACATTTCTAATTTTTTTAAAAAAATTATTTGGAAACAGTTTTAAAATTATCATAATTTAGTATAATATTATTTAAAAAACACATTTTCTTTTGTATATAAATTTAATTACGAAAATTAGATATTAGTAAAGATATTTAAAGATTTCCTTAAATATAGGTTATATTTAATTTAAAATTTAAACTTATAAATTTTTGTAATTAAATCTAATTCTGAATAATAGATATTAATTTAAATTACTTTAGATTTCCTTAAATATAGGTTTATTTAATTTAACATTTGAAATTCAAATAATATTTTCAAAATAAGACATATGATTAACGAATATTTTATTGTATTTTTAATTATATTCAATCAGACTAAAATCAAAAACTGATAAATATTAATATTATATAGTAATTTGATGGAATGAGTTAAGTTTTTTAATAATTATGGTCTTATGCGGATTAAGTTATCAAAATATGCAAGATATTAAAATAAAAATTATTTAAAAATTAGTAAATATTTATATTATATAGTAATATTAATGGACGGATTAGAATTATAGTTTTATAACCATAGTCCTTTACGGATTAATAGAATGAGCGAATTATAAATATGTTTTTATAATAACATTTATTTTTTGATTAATAAAAACGACCGGATTAAAATTATGTTTCATGATCGTGGTCATAATAATACTAGAAAAAAAAATTAAAATATAAAAACAAAGTTCATAATTAAAATTATATCGATAATATTTAATTAATCGATATTTTTATTCTACTAATATACAAAATCTATACTATTTAAAATTAAAATATATTGATTTAAAAAATAAATAAATAACAAAACAAATTATATCTAAACATAAAATAAATATAAATTAATTAAAAAAAAATCCTGTGCGGACGCACGGGGTTAGCATCTAGTTAATATTAAAATTAAAAACATTAATATTAAATATAAATAAACATAGGAAAAGAATTTAGTTTTTTAAAGATAAAATCAAGAAGTTTAAAGATAAACTTTGTATTTCGATGTTTTGTATTCAACTTGTAATCTTCTTTGTACTTCGGTACTTTAATGAAATTTAGCCGTAAAAAAATTAAGAAATTTATCCCATTATGAACTTTAAAATATTAAATAACTTTAAATATGAAAATTTATTTATTTATTAATGAAAAAGTGTAATTTAAATCATGTCAAAAATTGTCTTATTATAAAGAAGAAATGTAATTTCAAAAATTTTATACAAAAAATTGTAGTTACAACAATAAATAGTGTTTATGTAAACTTGGTATACTCAAATTTAGATTTCTGAATCGTTTTTATTACGATGTCTACACAGAAAAAGTGTATTTTTCAAATTGAAATTCATAAATAAAGTATTTTTCCAATTATTTCTAATATTTATTTGTATATATGGGTTTTTTCAACAGAGAAATATTTAATTATATTTTACTCTTTTGGATCAGGATTCAGAGAGATGGAAAAGTTACAGATAAAACGAAAAAAGAACGGGGCAATTATATTTAGAGGACAAAAAAACTGTAGTATTATTCATTTAATACTTTTTCAAACTTTACCACTTTTAGACTTATATACCCTTTTTCTATAATTGCAAATTTTTTTTAAAAATACTTTTATAATCTAAAAATTTGGGAAAATTCAGAAAAAGAAAGAAATATATTTTTTGTACTAATTTTTTGCAAACAAAAGTTTTAAAATAATTTTTTACAAATGTTCTACAAATTAATAGAAAACATATTCAATAAATCTATAAATTTATAGAATATCATGTCTACTATTTCATTAGTTTTCTACGAAATATATAGAATTCGTTATCTATAGTTTTCCCCATATTCTACAAAGTTATGAAACCGTATTCTACAACATGTTCATTTCTCTACAGTTTAGTAGAATTATATTTCATTATTTCTATAATTAATTCTTTGTTCTACTACTTTGTAGAATCTCATTTTTACAATAAACTCTTTGTTTTATAATTATAGAATATTAATTCTACTAAACGGTTAACTAAATCTTCAAGAATCTAGGATCAGGTTTAGAATATCTACAGAATATGTTTTTTTCCTTTTCAAATTATTTATTTTACCAATATATTTTTTTTAAATTTTTATTTTAGAAATTAAATTTTGGCGACATTTATTCCTTCTTCTCCATATCTACACACTTTTCTCCTCCTTCAACACACATCCTTTCACGTTTTTTCATAATTTTTATGTATTCTCTCTGATTTTTCATTCTAATTACTTTAAAATATATTACATATCTACATAACATGTGGTCTCTAGAATTCTGGTTTAGAGAAGAATGAAATTTTACTGGGCAAATGTTTTTGGGTAAATGTAAATTTTTTTGGGTAATATATATATATATATATATATATATTTTTTTTTTTACTTTTTTCGTTCGAAGATGGATTCTGCAAAATTGTTTGGGTAAATGTAATTTTTGTTTTACTTTTTTTTTTAATTTTTAATTTAATCGGATTAAAATTAAGTACCAAAAATTTTTATTATTCTGGATAATTTTGATTTAAAGGGTAGAAAAGGATAAATAATTTGTAGAAGTATTAAGGGGACAACTTCCAAAATTAAAGTATTAAAAGGACAATAGCAATGTTTTATTATCCTATATTTTTAATTATCCCAAAAAGAACTGAACTAATGATCAAAGTTAGACAATTTATAATGCTTTACTGGAAGAGGAGTGTAAAAGGAAATTTGAAGAAAACTATTTCAAGAGTATCAAATTTACTTGCGATTTATATTTGAACGGTTCGCCGATATCGTAGTTCTAAATGGCACGCACTAAGAATATGGAAATAAATTAACACTGACGTATAGTTATATGTTTGTTGATTACATTGAAAAAAAACTATTGTCAAGCGAGAGGTTAGCCTATAAATATTTTAATCTTTAAATATTTTTTTATTAAACATAAAGTTATAATAGGTATTTTTTTTGCCAAGTTAAATCGAAAACCCAAAACAATATAGACCTATTGTAATTTGAAAAACAAAATCAATAATAAACGACACTTAAACTGAAACAGACGGAATATATATTTTATATAAAATAAAATAAAATACAATAACGCTATATCTTGTTAGAAATTCCATTATTCAAAATGAAATCATAACTACAATATATATTGCCTTATTTGTTTTTAGTATTATAGTATTGCCTATTTGAGCTGAAACGTTACACTAACTTCCATACAAGTCTGATTATCTCTATACAAATATGGAACCACACTTGGAATGTCTCTGGAACATGCAGATGACGACGGTCTATGAGTTTGTCAGAAAAAAGCGAGCTCGTGAATAAAAAAGTTGGACAACACTTAGATATGCATTTACGTTAATATATAGAAGCCATACACGATTGTTAAAACAAAAAAAAATCCATAATTTTTTCTAGAAATAATGTTTCACTGATGTTTTGTTCATATAACTATATTATGTTGCAAATTTAGTTTCTACTTATGAAACAAGCATCCAAATATGTTGATGGGATTGACTAGTTTCTAATGGACTCCGAAACTACAATAAAAAGAAAAATAGACCCTTAGAACCTTTTTCTTTTTTAAAAATAGGCATTAACTAATGTTTTTTTAACCTTATTTTCTTTTTTATTAAAGGATTAACTATAGTGTTTCGACAAAAAGAAAAGCTAATGCATGTTTCTAAACCCTCAACACTCAAATAAAATTAACTCACTTAAACCATTGTTAATGAGAATTAACAACTTCATTGTACATGACGAGGCAAAACCTGCATGCATGGATATTCAAGTTTTCTGCAACCTGAATTATCGAGTTTTTTTTTTTTAGTTCCTTGAAATCTTCAGTCGGCAGAAGAAATGTAAAGAAATGGTGATAATAGAACAAATGCTATTTATTATATTTTGTCGTTTACATCAATGATATTGACTTCTTATCATCAATTTCTTGACAGTAGAAAGAGGTTCATAGTCATAATTAATATTTCGATGTCAAAAAAAAAGAAATTCATAATATATTTCATGAATGAGGTTTGTTACAGGCTTGCAGCGATGGTGCTGATATTTTCATGTAATTGTTATCTATGCTCTTTGATTGTTTTCAGTTGGTCTAGCTAATTAATCTTCTACTTCTTGAACTTTGTAAATACATCATTTCACCAAGATCATGATGCCAAATTGCGATCAGATTTTATATAGTTTTCATGAAAACAAGGTTAAGAATGAAGTTAGTCCTGTTTTTATTTCCGCTAAGTATTTAAGGTTATTCTTAAGAACTAATGCTGTTAAAAAAACAGTGTGCGAGAAATCAATTAATTGGATGTAAAAACAAAATCAATAAAGTAAGAAAGAGAGCGTTTTAAAACCTGAGAGTAGTGTACAAGCTACCGATGATCCAGCTAGTTCCAGGCGTCTCCCCAGACTACAAAACACAGACTAACATCTGCCATTAAGGGATCTAATTAATATAACAAGACAAATAATTACATAATCAGAAACGGTTTTAAACAAGATCTCACGACACATGTATGGCATTAGAAAAGAGATCTTACACGGTTTTGAAAATGGACAAAGTAATTTGAGGTTCTCTTGACACGAACCATAACCGTTCATGCCCAAAGCCGTAAATTCTGTAGAAACAAACCTTCACAACAATACACGGCGTTTCAGAGAGCTTTTCTCACAACCTCAAGTATTTAAACTCGAAAACGAGTGACCATCTTTAGTTCTCTGTAAGTCACTTACACGATGAGAGTTACACTATTAGATTTCATGAGATTCTTTGTACTCATTCTTTCTTTTAGTGGTGCTTTAGTCGCTGCAGATGAAACCGTGGAGACACAGAACTATGGTTACCCACCTCCGTCACCAACTTATGGAGCTCCACCAACCTATCCAACACCTAGATCTCCTATAATACCACCACCAGTGCAAAAGCCTCCAACACCAACTTACAGCCCTCCAATCAAGCCACCACATATCAAGAAACCTCCAACACCAATATACAGTCCTCCAGTAAAACCACCACCCGTGCAAAAGCCTCCAACACCAACTTACAGTCCTCCTGTTCGGCCACCCCCAATCCAGAAGCCTCCGACACCAACTTACAGTCCTCCAGTAAAACCACCACCAGTACAAAAGCCTCCAACACCAACTTACAGTCCCCCTATCAAACCACCACCGGTGAGAAAGCCTCCAACACCAATTTACAGTCCTCCTGTTAGGCCACCCCCAATCCAGAAGCCTCCGACACCAACTTACAGTCCTCCGGTAAAACCACCACCAGTGCAAAAGCCTCCAACACCGATTTATAGTCCTCCTGTTAAGCCGCCACCAGTGCAAAAACCTCCAACACCAACTTATAGTCCTCCTATAAAACCACCACCGATACAGATTCCACCAACACCTACTTACAGTCCTCCAGTAAAACCACCACCGGTGCAGAAGCCTCCAACACCAACCTATAGTCCACCTATTAAACCACCCCCAGTGAAGCCTCCAACACCAACTTACAGTCCACCTGTTAAGCCACCACCTGTGCAAAAACCTCCGACACCAACTTATAGTCCTCCTATAAAACCGCCACCGATACAAAAACCTCCAACACCAATTTACAGTCCCCCTATAATGCCACCACCTGTGCAGAAGCCTCCAACGCCAACTTATAGTCCACCTGTAATACCACCACCGGTACAGATGCCTCCAACGCCAACCTATAGTCCTCCACAAGGTGGATACGGTACTCCTCCTCCATATGCATATCTTTTGGAACCGTTAGTCGTAAACAATTAGGGCTACAAGTTACAAAATATATATACTCCCTCATGGATCGCCAAGTAGGCTATCTAGCAAAAGAAGGGTCTATGTTGTATATGGTACTGCATATTATGTGGTATAATAAATAAAGCTGTATGAATCATAATAAAATATTCATTATGATTTTATGTTACAGTCGCGCTCTTGGTTAAGATCATACATCGTATGCCACACTCTAAGCTTTTGATTGCTATTTATGTATGCGTTTTTTTATCACATTTTTTAGATAGCAATGTCATTTAAATTCAAGAAGAAAATAATATCTGTGTTTGTTTTAGCCGAAAAAAACACTCTGCATGTTGCATTTTAATCAACTGAAATTACATATCTCGACACCTAATAAACTGGAAAGTTAAGATTTGAATGCTATGAGCATAATTTGGCCAACTCCAATATTCAACAGCTCTGATGAAAACAATACTCTAAAAAAATCAGAAATTAGACCAAACTCTAGACTCATCTTTGAAATTCTATTATGAGTAAAAACGAACTGCTTATGTTTAAGAGCAACGTACAGTAGTCAGCCTTTACTCTGTTTTTTTTTTAGATGTAGTGATACTCCGTGCATAGTAGGCAAACTCCCAATTTAGTGTAGGAAATCTGACGATACACTTCAGTTATTTTATCTTTGATAAAACATCTGACAATACATCAGGACAGTAGTTAATGTAGTGTTCCTGCTGTTTTTAAACCAACTAGATTTTAACTAGTAAGTCAAATATTTTTCATAGATTAAATTTTGTAATATGCAAAGTGTAAAATTAAAAATAAGACCTAATTTACATTTTCGCTGCTTTGAAAGATTTGATACTTTTTGCAAATTGTGCCATTTGGCAACATGTTTAACAGTATAGATAAATCACAAACATACCTTGTTTGACAACAAATAGTATTTCTGTATTAATATCTATATTATTATTCGTGAAGAAAAACTCTGATGTGTCGCAGCAATTTTGTGTATTTTTGTGCTAATATGTCGTTAGTTTGTTTTCTAATTTATGTGGCTTTTTTGATGTTTTTAATATGTCGTTCATTTATATTAGCTATATATTTAAAAGTGATGTATCATAATTAGATCATTAAGGCCCATTTTATTCTAAATTTTATCTAGGGCCTATTTTATTGTAAAATCTGCAGTTTTCTTATTATTGGTTTAATCGTCTTTCCGTGGGAAGAGAATTGGACTACAGAGAACAAAAATAAATTCATCTATAAAAATAATATGTACAATAATGACTAAATCAGATTTAAAATTTAACATGATATCAAAGCTAACAAAATAATTGTTTACCTATGCTCTGATATAATAGTTTCGCATCCACCCTTGCATGAAAGATATAAACCAAAAAGAATAAAAGACAATTCTGACAAAAGAGAAAGAAATATCTGACTAGAGAAATTGAGAAATTAAAATAATCTATAAACGTAATGTATAGAAATAATGATTATTTTAAAGATTATCATTGTATCAAAAGTACTAAAAATATTGTTTAATTACCTACACTCTGATATCAAAATTTTGTGTCTGCGCTTGCATAAAAGATAAATACCGACAAAAAAGAAAATTTCCGTTAAACAAGGAGAAACTTATAGAGAACGAAGAACAAAAATTATCTTTAAACTTAGGCTATGAATGGTAAAAGGTAAAAAGCAGATTTCATAAAAAAAAAGGTAAAATCACAGAGAAATCACCAATGAGACAACTTTTTCCAAAAATTGTGTTTTTTTAGTAAGTGACGGTTTATACAGTGGTTAAAAAGTTGGACCGCCCTTCAAAAAAGACCACATCACTTATCCTGCGTTTCTTCAAAAAACACATTGGATAATATTGATTTTTCTTTTCTTTTAATTTGAATATTTAATTATTAAATTATCTTATATATACCTACTATGCTACCATCCTACAAATATTATATTAGTTATTATATATTTCTATAATATATTTATCTATAATATGTAATCTGTATCGCTTTAGTCTTATTCACCGTTCAAACATTTTATTGTGGACTGCAAACTGTTTTTTCACGAATTAAATATTATTTTGTACCGCTAATTATATAGAAACCTCATTTGTCCCACAAATAGATTTTCCCGCACGTACCGCAGTTGAACCATATTACACTCTTAAATCGCTGTTCCCGCACAGCAAAAAACACTGTCACCATTCAGAGATGTATATATATAATGACAAATTCAGAGATGAAACTAATCATGATATCAAAACTTATCCACGCTTACGAGAAAGAAAAGAATCGGCAATGATAGTCACTTTCGCCAAGACAAGGAGAAATTTCAGGCTAAAAAATTGAATACATATAAAATAAGCGTAAACTTAATTTATACAAATAATGATTACTTTAGAGATAAAACTTAACATGATATTAAAACTATCAAATAAATTGTTTAACTATAATATTAATGAACCCTTTCTGCCCGTGGACCAAATACCTAATTATACATATAATAATTATAATTCAACATTTTAACATGAGTATATAACACACAAATACAAGTCATAGATAAAATATTCATACTTCCTTTTTCGTACAAATTGAGTTTATTTTACTAAACTATCAATTCATTACTCGATGAATAAAAGGGGACATGGACGTAGCAGTGTCAATTGGGCTGTCCATGTCCAAATGGGCTTGTCCAAATGGGCATTTTTATTTTCTGGACATTAATGGTCCACACCCAAATAGAACCATGTCCAAATAAGACCAAATCCATTTTGGACCATGACCAATTGGACTGTCCATCAGTCCAAATAAGACTATTTTCAAAATTACTTAATTGTAGCAAAAAGAAGAGATTCAAAACATGAGTTTAACGTAATTGCAGCATAAAAAAGAGATTCAGCTTACAAGATACAAGTTCAACTAAAACATTGTCATAAAAAAGATAGAAGGGAGATAGAGACATTAATAACTTTTATGTTGTTTGGAAAAAATAGACATTAATAGAAAAAAGATAGACATTAATAGAAAAAGATCTCGAGAAAGTTACATCAGCTACTCTGAGTTACGATGATTATGCAGCTACCTTTCAGAGTGAAACACCTGCAGATGATTTCACCGACCTGAAATACCAAAAATCGACATTTTTTTTAATCAAAGGTAAACCCAGAATTTTTGTTCTGTATAACAAAAAGCCGACAAGTAATCAAGTAACTTAAACTTGGAACTTTGAATTGATGCATAAACAAGTAAACCCAAAAGACTAAAATCCACAAACAGTTGAAATTCAACTTCAATCCATGTCTGTAAAAGCTAAGAGCTAAAAGAAATTTGAAGAAAAGAGAGTGGAGAAGCTCACCTGTGTGATAAGCCGCCGGAATGACTCGCCGGGGACAGAGAATCCGATCGTTGGAGTCTCGCCGGAGAGAGAAGTAGCTCGCCGGAATGCAGTGAGAGATGAATGTCTCGAGAGATTGAGAGAAGAAAAAAAAATCCCAATTTAATTTGACCTATAAGTTTTAGACCATTGGGCCTACCAAAAACCATATGGTTTGACCAATTTATTTTCTGGACAAAACTAGACCAATACCATTTAGACCCATTAGTATTTGGGTGTGTCCATAACCGGCTCATTATAATTTGGATATAGGTCACCCATGGACAACCCGCCAATTTGACACCGTGACATGGACGGGAAGAAAAGTAGTGATGTCACTATGAGACATCAATGAAGGGTGGTGATTATTTTAAGAAAAATCATGAAAAATTACTCACGTAGTATCACATAATTAAAGATAAAGCATTTTCACAAATGATTCATATTAAATTATGTTTCATATATAAAACGAAAACATCAACCACTTTCATACACTAAGATCACACACAAACCTCAGTTCAAGCTTGAACATGAAAAGAACAGGCTAAGATAGTTAAATGTCTCTACACATATATTATATAAATACATTACATGAAAGACGCAAAATAAAGATTAAAACGGTGGATCTTATGGGATACCGATGATGGGGAAGAAAGGAACATAATAGCTTGTCGGAGCCAGCCCCCACTCCGGAGGAACAGGTAAATCAACGGTCTTGGACGAACCAAAAGATCCGAGGCTTCTTGGGCATGATTTCAAGAAGATCAACTTCGAAGAGAGACCATATTTGTCACCTTCGAGCTTAACAATCTTCGACTTAACGTTCCTTGTGGAAGCATAAAGTTGCTTGAAGCTACCTTGAAGTTCTGCTTCACAGTTAGATTTATCCCTCGAGGGAAGCTCCGACATAAACTCACCCTTCTTGTCCGTTGAGACGGTGAACCGCGTCTTGGTGTGGCTACAACTAACGCTGATCATGATTCCTGAAAAGGGAGAGGTAAAGTCTAGTCACAATGGTATGAGTAGATATAATGTTAATTACAACAATTTGTTATATGAATTAACCTGAATAATCGTAATCATGGGGACAGTCAAAACAAGAGACTTTTCCTTTGATGAGCGAAGCCGAGACCACGAGGCAAGATGAGATCAGAGCTGCTTTGAAAAGGAACAAAGCTAAGAAACTTAACCGCATAGCCATTGGAGAAGGCAGAGATCAACCACTTGAAGAAGTCATTATGAAGAAGTGTATATATAAGTAAAATAGAGATACTTTTACGATACAAGGGCAATCACAAGTTTCACAGCTGCTTCATTACTGAATGGGACCCAAAGACCGAGCATGGTAGTTGGCTTGGCGTTAAATGAATGTGTGTATCTAAATCTTATCCCCATGACAATATTTGATTTAATTCAACTTTTTAGCTATTTGATAGAGTACTTTTTTTTTCCGTCAAGAATATAACTCTACGGTTTAGTTCTTTACGTAAAACTAAACCTCTACGGTCAATTAGGTAAGAATTTTAGTTCTTTACGTAAAACTCTACGGTTGCAAACGGTTTAAGGTTCTGACTGCAAAAGATTTTTTTTTCTTCCCACGAGTTCAATCTTAATTCATGTAAATAGTTCTTTCAGTATATTAGATGTTTGGACCAAAGTTTCGGAAAATAAATTAGCCCAATCGTTTAATACACGTTCACTGAAAAAGAAATAACAAAGCTCTTTACGATTATTTAGCCCAGACATTTTTTTTTTTTTGTCGCCAGTGGAACCCTTGATGCCCGAGAGTCCGAGACACATGACAAGCGTACCACCGCTGCATTATGAGGCGTACGGTATTTAGTCCAAACGTCTAATAGATTAAGTTCTATTAAAAATAACTCATTTACTCTGTTATAGATTGGGTGACAAATAAAATGATTGCGCAAGAACAAAATAACACTTTTTGAGATAAAAGAAAAACTCAAACAGTGAAAGTATATACTCCTTCCGGTTTTTTTTTAAAAGTCATTTCAAAGTTAAACTTTTTTTATTTCAAAAAGATCTTCGTTTTAATTTTTTAATGTGACTTCTTAAACTATTTTTTTTTTTTAAATCTTGCTTTTCCCAAGGGCCAAGGCTAATAATTTTTGCATTTATAACAATTTGAATTAGTTATAGATAAGATGATAGGTGAATAATACTTATTAGTATACTTTTTAAAAATATGTGTGAAAATGTATTTGTCATGAACAAAAAAAAAATACTAAGACAGGACTACAAGAGTATGTATGCACAATGGTCAACGTGATCTTAATACGGGTCATAAATGGCTGGGTACGTTTCCACCGTACTGTTCATTTAACCGTCGGACGTCGGTGGCTCACTGTGGCTCTCACATTGCTTATAGGCAATTTTTTTTTTGTCAAGCTTATAGGCAATTAATAATTTCAGAAGTATGTGGTTTCATTATGAGAATTTAAATTATTAACCATGTATTAGGGGTTTTTTTTAATTTATTTTTGGTCAAGATATTACGGGTTTTTTTTTAAAAATTTTTTTGAAGAAAGGGTTTTAAAGTATTACGGAGGTTTAACCATAAACTTGGTAGTTTTGATATTTATTGTTAAAAATTCGAAATAAATGCAGATGAAGTTCAATCGAAGGACACATCAAATTTGTCTTAATTTTGAGTAGGACCGGTTGTATACCTGTTTTTTAAATATTGTATGAAAATTTTAAAAATAAATCATGATGGTTTACAGAAAAATTTATACATTATATATTTCATCATATTTTGATGTAGTTGGTAAAACAAAAAATTTGGATTTATCCGTATATTTATTCTTTTTTATGAAAATTTAAAATTTATTCATCAACTAGTAAATATATACAAGATGCGAGACCACAAAGCATTAAAGTATCCCTTTAATCGAGAGATCACCATGAGAGTTTCTTTACCACAACAAAAATACAAACTTCTTTTCACTTGATTTATTTTGGTAAATTCACAATAATATGAGTATATACCAACAGATAACATCGAAACTAACTGGTTCTGAAAAGTGTTTTTATCAGATACTGTTAACCGTGAAAAGTCCATAAAACTTTTGAAACATATAACCTCTCAATGCACTTCTCTCTCATGACATGGGTCCAGAATATAAGAAAAAGTGTCAGGGAAATATTATGTCTATTTCACACGCAAAGTTTGCAGTATTCGATACAAAATAGAAGAAAGAGAAAACGACAATGGGAAGAGAAAGAGAAAAACAGACGAATAATAAATATCTGATATTTTTGTTAGCACGTTAACAAGTATAATATATTTTATTGCATCATAGTAACATACTATGTTAATATGTTACAATATATATATATATATATATATATTGCTGTTAACAAGTAGAGATATTAACATATATCATTGTTAACATATATCATTGTTAACATGTAACAATAAGCATTGTTAACATGTTAACTTGTATTACATATTATTGTTAGCATAATCTAGACAAACGATAACACTATTATGTAGTTATCGGATATATATATATATATATTAAAGTTAGCAAACGATGACAATAATACATGGACCATTATGTCGTCAACTACCACATAATACTTAGATACACCATATTTTGTGGCAGGTGACATGTGTCATTATCCAAGAGAGAGAGAGAGAGCTGTCATTCGTGTAATACTGATATCAGACTTGACATCGTGAGCAATAGGGGTAAATTGGAGAGAAATTGCTGACGTGGAGTGGAAGAACTAATTTTTATGTTTCTGTTGGTATCTACTTAACTTTTTGGTCAACTTTTAGTATATAATAAAATCACCCTTTTATCAAACTGTTTCTGAAGCAGGGGTTTTTAAACCCATGTCCAACTACTCTTTTATAAGATATTGTTTGCACTCCATTTTGAAGTAAAATATGAAGTAGATATGAAATAAAACTTAACTCTATTTTAAAGTTACTCTGTTTAAAAATGAAAACTTGAGTTATGGATATCCTTGGCAACTCAATTCTTGTTTTCTTATCCAAATTACTAGCTTCTACTTAAATTCTTTATTATATTGATTTTATAGTTATAGTGGACGTTTTGTGTGGAGGAATTATGTGGAGATATTCTGTTCATATTAACTCTCCTTGTTGATTAATTTTTTCAAGTTTCCACTCATACAACCACAATTAATTTTACGTATAGTCTCCATCAAGGATATGCAAAATATCCATTGAATTTGCTTTGATATACTATTCGATTCTGTTCGATCTGAAAATCCAAATAACAGTAATTATATAAAGTAAAGTATTGTATATGTACTAAAATTATGTATCCATAAAAGAACAAATCATAAATACTACAATTTAAAATATGAATATCCGTTCTGATCCGGTTATATTTATATATATATATATATAACTATACATATACTTATATCTATTGAAATCAATAAAGCAAAAGAGAAGTAAAGGTTAAAAAAAAACTCCCAAACACGAGTCCTTATGATGGTGAAATCTGCTTTCGGCCCATGACAGCCCTGCAGGGAATTCTTTTTAACCAGCTATTTTTAAAAGTTATTATCGTGTTTCTCTTAATTACCCAAAGACTATTTAGGAATTCTGGCGACCGTTCCGCCGTCTGACTCTCCGACGACCGTAATCCTCTCACCTCATCTTAAAATTCTTCCTCCAGCATGGAAATTGGTGACCTGCAACCAGTTCATCCATCATGTCGCTCAAACTCACCTACCAGGACAAAGGCAAGGCCATTGCAAGCTCATCAAAGCACCCCCAAGTTAAGATTCAAAATTCAGACAACTCAGCCATTCTCCGCAAACACTGCCTTACGCTTGTAGAAAGAATAACTCACCAGAAGTATCAAAAAGTATGGTCAGTTATCCATTTTTTCACCGATCGCTGGAAAACACCGTTAGACGCATAGGTGCAGACCTAGGTCATGGAAAATTCCAGTTTCACTTTGCAAACAAAACAGATCTTCAAATGGATGATTATCCTCCATAGGCGGGACCCCTCCATCTCCCGTGATTTTCCCTCCCAAATCCCTTTCTGGGTAAAAATTGAAGACTTCCTGTTCACCTCTAGACACAAGGTACTATCCAAAGCATTGGAGACTCCCTTGGCTTCTGCGAGGAAGTTGAGATAATAGATCTCTCAGCAAGATTCAAAGTCCACATTAATGGCCTCAAAGCCCTAGTTACCTCATTAATTGTGGAATACCCAAACGGCGACAGAGTCAAAGCTGACCTTATCTACGAAAAGCTAGAGCGCCACTGCCCCTTTTGCATGATGCTAACACACGATGAAAAAGAATGCTTTGCACCTCCCTCAGAGGAGAGAAACAGGGAAACATCTACGGATGTGAGAACAAAACCTCCGTCAATTGTTCCACATATAGAGATAGGCTACGGCCACATCCTCAGTCCACCAGAGAGTGGGAAGATCGTGCAAAGGAAAAAATCACCAGCAGAGATAGACTCTCGGAGTCAAGAGAAAGAGGCAAATACCATGATGACAGGACCCATGATGGGCCAATACGAAGTCACCACTCTCATTATGATGATAGCCACGATTCGCGTCGAACCCCATATTCCTCAAGATACCAGCCTTACACAACCTCAGGATCCAGAAAACATATGGGTACCTACTTGAGACCAGGAAAAGCAGAAATAGCTAAATACAAAGAGGAGGCAGAGAGACATACCCGTTATGAAAAAGTGGAAACCTCACACTCCAACTCTTCTTCCATGGGAAATAACTCTAACCCTCCCTCTCCACCTCCTGTGGTAACGCAGGAAGCTCCAAACTTGACCCTGAGTGAGGTCCGTGAAGTTATGGACAGATATACAAATTGCAACAACCCCACAGAGAGTGCTGCTCGAAGAGAACAAGTCAGAATGACAGAAGAAAAAGATCAAATCAAAGAAAATGTCTATAATCTTGCCCTTTCACGATCAACCCCAGGAGAACCGACTGAGACTACCTCCCCACAGCGAATCCCAGCTGCTTAGAGGCCTGGAAATGTCCTGCCATCTCCTAATGTCATCCTTATGGAAGCAAGGCTTGGACCTATAAATTCAGAGATTTTAAATCCCATTAATGAGGTTCCAACGCAGCAAGCTGAACCCCAAAGCAAGCATAAACCAGGCTGACCCCCAGCATTTTGGTAAACGAAAAAAGATCTCTTTACTAACATTGTAGACAAGATAAGACAAAAAGCTATATGTTTGTCATCGAGATTCTTATCGGGCG